AGACAGAAGGGTATAGTTTCTAGTTGTAGTAGAAATTATACTTACCTGTTAGACACCGCTATAAACCTGTAAAGGATTCTTGTAGCCGTGTCATTGTTATAGTACTGCTGTTAAGAAGGCCACGGTACTGTAACAGTATAGTTCTAACATTCATAACAAACTCTTAACAAAACTTGAAAATAGGGTATTGCTTTTAGTATTACATAAATATATGATTTTTACCAACAGAAGGAAACGTACCTGATCCAAAGTGAATCCTACACACGGTGTGATACAGTGTGATCAATTAAAACTAAAATTATTTATTTTAGTTTTAATTGATCACACTGTATTATACTGTGTGTAGGATTCACTTTGGATCAGATACGTTCTCTCTTGTTATTTTTACCACGAAGTGGTAATCTAATCATATGATAATTTTCGTTTTAGATTCGATTATCATTAATAGTTTTTTTATTTATTGTTTAGCATCATCATAGTGTTGCTAAAATATATTCATTTCTTGATTCAGTTCTTGTAGTTAGGAGTGGTAACCTATCACATTCAAAGTACTGTTTAGTAAGAAAGGATGCGAGGGGTTTACTGGTTCGTATTACTAAATTTTTGAAAATTCTTTCGATTTGCAATTGCCTATTTGAGAGTTTTTTTTTCTTTTAACTAATATCAGAAATGGAGAGAAATCCAGGTTAACGTATCGCTTTTGACTTGAAGCTTTGTTTTGAACTCGAGGACACACTTTAAAATGGTTCTGCAATCATACTTGATCATTACAAAATTGGCCACAAGACGTCTTCAAGTACAGAGTGTCTGGACCATTGATATTAGCAAGATTAGAAAAGTAGCGAATGGTATGTTATTATCACTGCATTATTTTATTTATGTTCTTGAATGGTGACAGTTTTTAATTATAGTTTATTTCATAAGATGATGTGGTCGAAGTCAGAAAGGGCAAATATAAGTGTTCAAATATTATTAAAAATTTGCAGAGATGGACTATTCGAGTATAAAATTCGGCCTTGATTGTCGCTATAAAATGGAATTGGAATAAGGATGAGGCGTAGAGATAGGTAATGCTAATGAAATAAATTATATTGGCAATTGTTATTATTAAAATGTAAAAGTTAAATATTAATTATCTTATCTGTTAATCCATTTTAGAATTTGTTTAATATCTGTAATAAATAGCAGTTTTTGAAGTACAAGGCATTCATTTATTCAAAATCAGTTGAGACATACTAATAGAGTATTTAATGTTGATTATTGCTATCATAATGGAATTGGTGTTTAAAAGAATGGATATTGAGTGTTTAATTTTGTCCAGGTGTTATTCAGTTCATAAATATAGCGGCACTCGGATAACGTGCTTATTATAATTATACAATTTTTTTTTTTTTTTTGATGATTTATTTATCTTTTATTTATTTTTTTATTTAATAAAAACAGTTTTAAATTGAAGTAAACTACATTAATAACATCTTATTAAAATTTTACCATTTGCTGGTTGTAATGCTTATGGTATAAGAGCTAGAGAATACAACTTGTAGGTGAATTTGCTACGTAAAGTGCCTTATACAATACTCGAGTCTGTTACATTTCACCAATTTTAAACTATATAGTAGACCCGGGTCTATTACACGCTGAGAGATTATGTCGAAAAAAGAAAAAATATAAAGTACACACTTTGTATTACAATAGGAAGTCTAACTATTTAAAAAAAACCATGTTTAATAATTTTGTGGTTTGCGCCTGGGTCTAATTCCTGGTGGATTTACAGGATCTTGTATACGGCACTTTACGGTAGTCAGCACTTTACAATACTTGACAATACTTAATTAGAAGCTATTTATTAATTATTTAAAGAAAATTTTTTTTTTAAAAAAAATTGTATGGTGATAAAAAACTACAAAACTACTTGATAACACTGTAATTTTATTGGTCACTTAGCTAACACGTAGAATAATCTAGAAAAAAATCTAGAACAACCCGACGGATGATCATTACTAGATAAGGTGCGATCTGCAATGACATGTAAGGGGGTCCTTAAAGCCGGGTTAAAAAAAGTTACGTTTTTGATGTTTTAAGAGTTACCTTTTTGATACAGTTAAGGTTAGTAAGTTATTTATATATCAAGAATACAATTTATGCAGTATGTAGATCATTATATGAAATCTGCCCCGCTTTAAGGGACCCCCAAATATGGTATATTCCTAGACTGAATTTACCCCTGAAAACATCTATTCGCTTCATCTTTCTACCTGTAAAAGTGTCCAAATATCCATTTGCCCACCTATCAACCCGTAACGCATATTGGAGAATAGAGGATGAAGGAAGCCCAGAGGAAAAATTAGAATTTATTAAAAATTTAAAAAGTTCTATAGAACCTATTTTAAATAAATAAAATAACAGTTTTTATGAATGCGTATATATACCTATTCATTCCCAGTTCTATAATTCTAACAACTGATTCCCGTGCTCACACCCTTAAGTTTTTATAAATGGCTCATTAAAAAAAAAAAAAGAAAGAAAAAAAAAAAACCTATTTATTAAACATTAAAAAAAAAAAAAAAAAATGCTATTCATATATTACTGGTAACATAAAATATATTACGTAACTTAGTTGAAAAAAAAAATTTTATCGCTAACTCTTCGGAAATAATCGTATAATCATGTGTTCCGTGGATTCCCGTGATTCGGGTAATTTCGTGAGGTGCCAGGCTTTAGACGCCCCCTTTTAGCGGAGGTAAATATGTATACAATATTGGGTAAAATTTGTCGAATAACGGTAATTTGGCAAAACCGGGGCAAATGAACACGTGCCG